CCAATCCCAATCCCCCAATCCCGCTGCCCCTATTCCCAATCCCATTCCCAAATCCCAAACTCCAAATCCCACAGCCCCAACCCCCCCATTCCCACCATCCCAGCACAGTCAGGGGGGTCCCGGGGCTGTCCCCACGGGTGCTCCCCCTGACCCCGTGCCTGTCCCCGTGCCTGTCCCCCTGTCCCCGTGGGTGTCCCCTGACCCGTGCCTGTCCCCAGGCCTGCAGCCTGTCACCAATGCCCGTCGGGGTCCGTGCTATGGCGTGGCCGCGGCCTGGCCGGGCGAGCGGCGCCGTCGCCTGGGGGTGTCCCTGCTGCACCGAGCCATGGGCGTGCTGCTGGCACAGGGGGAGTGCCAGCTGTACCCCGGCGACATCCCGGGGTGACAACGAGTGCCAGCTGTACCCCTGGGACATCCCGGGGTGACAACGAGTGACACCGAGTGCCAACTGTACCCCGGGGACATCCCGGGGTGACACCGAGTGCCAGCTGTACCCCTGGGACATCCCGGGGTGACACTGAATGACACAGAGTGACATCAAACCCTGGGGACATCCCTGGATGACACTGAGTGACATCGAGTGCCAGCTGTACCCCGGGGACATCCCGGGGTGACAATGAGTGACACAGAGTGACACTGAGCCCTGGGGACATCCCGGGGTGACAACGAGTGACACCGAGCCCTGGGGACATCTCTGGGTGACAATGAGTGACATCGAGTGCCAGCTGCGCCCTAGGGACATCCCGGAGTGACAATGAGTGCCAAGGGTGACACTGAGCCCCCCCGGGTGACACTGAGTGCCAGCTGTGCCCTGGGGACATCCCTGGGTGACACCGACCCCCTCGGGGTGTGGCATTTTTGGGCCATTTCCTTCTTTTCCCTCGATAAACTCCACCCCCGCTGCTTTCGGGGGAATTTTTGGGATCCCGCGCCCGCCCCGACGCCTTCGGGACATTCCCAGTACGGAACTGGACACGACTGGGACACAGCACGGCTTTACTGGGGCGGTGACACGGACACGGGGGTGGCAGCACGGGAGGGGACAGAGCTGGGACCCCGCAGCGGGCTGGGCACGGGGGCACAGCCACGGGGAGTTTTGGGGACGTTGGTGACATTTTGGGGGCACTGGTGGCATTTTGGGGGTGTTGGCGGTGGAATTCTGGTGGAATTGGTGGCATTTTTGGGGTGTTGGTGACGTTTTGGGGGCATTGGTGGCATTTTTAGAGGTGTTGGTGGCATTTTTGGGAGCGTTCTTGGCGGTTTTTTGGGGCGTTGGTGACATTTTGGGGGCATTGGTGGCATTTTTGGGGACACTGCTGACATTTTGGGGGTGTTGGCATTTTTGGGGAGTATTGGTGGCATTTTTTGGGGACATTGGTGGCATTTTTTAGGGACATTTTTGGTGACATTTTTGAGGTGCCAGGGGATGATCTGAGCCCGGGCTGGGGTGACATTCTCATTGTGACACAGCGCTGGCACAGGGGACACCTTGGGGACACCAATGCGGTGCCAGCCCCACGTGGGGCACGGGGACAGTTTGGGGACAAGGGACAGGGCTGGGATTTCTTTGGTTTAAATTTTAGGAATTTTAGGGAGGGGACACACACACACAGGTGGCACCTGCTGGCATTGCTGGTGGCACCGGGGACATCCTGAGGTGGCTCCTGCGGTCGTGCCCGGCTGCTGGGAAGAGTGGGAGTGATGGGATTTGTATGGGATGGGATCAATTGGGATCGGGATGCCGTGGATCCGTGTGGGAATCATTCCTAGGAATCCTGGGAAAAGTGGGAGTGATGGGATTTGTATGGGATCAATTGGGATCAGGATCCCATGGATCTGTGTGGGAATTCCCAGGAATCATCCCCGGGAAAAGTGGGAGTGATGGGATTTGTATGGGATGGGATCAGGATCCCACAGATCCATGTGGGAATCATTCCTGGGAAGAGTGGGAGTGATGGGATTTGGACAGGAGGGATGGGATCAAGTGGGATCAGGATCCCGAGGATCCGTGTCAGAATAACTGGGAATCATCCCCAGCAAGAGTGGGAATGATGGGATTTTACAGGAGGATGGGATCGAGTGGGATTGAGTGGGATTGGGTGCTCCAGCATCCCGAGGATCCATGTGGGAATTCTTGGGAATCATCTCTGGGAAGAGTGGGAGTGATGGGATTTGTACAGGATGGATGGGATCGAGTGGGATTGGGATCCCGAGGATCTGTGTGGGAATTCCTGGGAATCATCCCCAGAAAACCCAGGAAGAGTGGGAGTGATGGGATTTGTACAGGAGGGATGGGATCGAGTGCTCCAGGATCCCGAGGATCCGTGCGGGAATCCCCGGGAATCATCCCCGGGAATCATCCCCGGTTTTGCTGATCCCAGCGGGAGCCGCTGGAAAGGCCCCGGGGGTGGTGACAGCGGGGACACGGCCGTGGTGGCACCGGGGACACGCGGGATGGTGCCATGCCTTCATCCCGGGAATCCTCATCCTCCTCATCCTCCTCATCCCAGCAGGAGCTGCCGAACCCCACAGGGACCCCCCCCCAAATCCCGGCAGATCCCAACGTGGAGGAGCCTCTGGATTCTCCTGAAAACCGCCCCAAAAATCCCTGCGGGGACCTCCCGGTGTCACAAACTCCTCCCTTGGGGTCCCCTCCCGGTGTCACCCCCCCCTCCCCCGGGGTCCCCGGAGCTGTCGCCGCCTGCGGGAGTGACAATGACGGGGACAACAAAAAAAAACCGGGATGGAGCCGCTCCAGCGCTGGGGGGTGGCGTGTCCGGGGTCTGGGGACAGGGGGTGGCATGTCCCCATTGTCCTGCCGGGCTTGGGGACCGGCTGTGACAATGTCCAAGGGTGAATTGGGACCAGGTGTGACAATGTCCGGGCTTGGGGACCGGCTGTGACGATGTCCAGGGTTGGGGACCGACCATTCCATGTCCCCTCTGTCTTGCCAGGGTTGGGGACCATCTGTGCCATGTCCCCCTTGTCCCCAAAGTTGGGGACCGGCTGTGACAATGTCCAGGGTTGAGGACCGATCGTTCCATGTTCCCTTTGTCCCCAGGGCTGAGGACCGGTCGTGCCATGTCCCCTCTGTCCCTGGGGTTGGGGACCGGCTATGACAATGTCCAGGGTTGAGGACCGGCTGTGCCATGTCCCCTTTGTCCCCAAGGTTGGGGACTGGCTGTGACAATGTCTGGGGTTGGGGACCGGCTGTGACAATGTCCAGAACTGGGGACCGACCATTCCATGTCCCCTCTGTTCCCGGGAATGGGGACTGGCTGTGACAATGTCCAGAGGTTGGGGACAAACTGTGCCATGTCCCCTTTGTCCCTGGGGTTGGGGACTGGCTGTGACAATGTCTGGGGTTGGGGACCGGCTGTGACAATGTCCGGGGTTGGGGACCGGCTGTCCCCTTTGTCCCCAGGGTTGGGGGACCGGCTGTGACAATGTCCGGAGTAGGGGACCGACCATTCCATGTCCCCTTTGTCCCCAAGGTTGGGGACCGACCATTCCATGTCCCCTTTGTCCCCAAGGTCGGGGACCGGCTCCGCCGCCTCCCCTCGCTCCCGCTGCGGGCTCTGCCCATCCCGGCCCGCCGGAGCCTCCTCGCTCCGAGCGCAGGGACAAACCCGGGCCGAGCCCTCCCCGCCTCCGCCTCTCCCGGGGGAGCGGCCCCGCTGTCCTGGCCTGGCGCTGGCCCTCATTTGGTGTCGCCGTCGTTGTCGCCGTCGGCCGTGTCGGGCTCCCAGAGGACGAACTCGTGCAGCAGAGTGTTCACCGTGTCGGGGCACTCCAGCATCACCATGTGGCTGCCCTCGTCGATCACCTTCAGGAAGGCGATCAGCAGGATCTGCGGGCGGGCAGTGATGTCCTGAGAGGTGGCACCAGAGCCCCAGAGCCGCTCTGTGCCCTCCCTTGTGAGTGGCAGTGCCAGGATGAGCCCCCTGAGAGGTGACAGGAGACCCCAGCCTCCCAAAAGCCACCCCCTGTGCCCTCCCTCGGGAGTGGCAGTGCCAGGATGAGCTCCCTGAGAGGTGGCACAAGACCTCAGGTCCCCGAAAGCCACTCTGTGTCCCCTCCCAGTGAGTGTCCCTGGTCAGGGCTTGGAGCACCCTGGCACAGTGGGAGGGGTTCCCTGCCCATGCCCAGGTGTCCCTGTCCCCGCCCATGTCCCTGTGCCACCCCTGGCAGTGTCCCTGTCCCTGTGCCACACCTGAAGCCGTCCCTGCCCACCCCACACCTGGCACCTGAGGATTTCTCCTCTCCCTCCCACCCCCACCCACGCCAGGCTCTGCCATCCCAACGATCCACCCCAAATTTTTGGGGTCAGAGTCCCCAAAACCCCCCCGTCCTCAGGTGAGGATTTTGTCCCCTCATACCTCTGCCATCCTCTGGTCCTCCTCGACGGGCACGAACTTGTCGTGCATGCCATGGACCAGCAGCACGGGCACTGCCAGCTCAGCGTGGTACAGCTCGTCACCCTCGGGCCAGTACTGGCCACTCATCATGGCCCGAAGGACAAAGGACGAGACGTTGAAGGCGTTGCCCTCCTTCAGCAGCTGCTTCTCTTTGGCACCTTGGCGGGCAAAGCCGGCCCTGGCACGGGGGAACGGGGTGAGCCCGAAATTCGGGGGGTGAAAGGTGGCACAGGCAGCCCCCAGCCCCAAAATCCACCCCCTGTCCCCTCTCCCAGCAATGGCAGTGCCAGGGTGACCCCCTGGGTGGCACAGGAAGCCCCCAGCCCCAAAATCCACCCCCTGTCCTGTCCCACAGCAGTGGCAGTGCCAGGGTGACCCCCTGATGATACCAGAAGCCCTAAGCTCCCCAAAAAGCCACTCCCTGTCCCCATCCCCCAGCAGTGGCAGTGCCAGGATACCCTCCCGGGTGGCACAGGGTGTCCCTGGGTGGCACAGGATGCCCCCAGCCCCCCCAAAATCCACTCCCTGTCCCCATCCCCCGGCAGTGGCAGTGCCAGGGTGATCCCCTGCATGGCACAGGCAGCCCCCACCCTCTCACAGTCTCCTGTCCCCCAGCAGTGGCAGTGCCAGGACACCCTCCCGGGTGGCACAGGGTGTCCCTGGGTGTCACACGGTGTCCCCAAGGGTGGTCACTGACTTGAGGATGCTCCAGGCCAGGCAGTGCAGCACACAGGGTACCAGGCAGCCACCAGCACCCCAAAATCCACCCCCTGTTCTATCTCCTCCCTCAGAGTGGCAGTGCCAGGACATCCTCCCGGGTGGCACAGGGTGTCCCTGGGTGTCACAGGATGTCCCCAGGGGCGGTCACTCACTTGAGGAAGCTCCAGGCCAGGCAGGGGGACAGGCAGTGCAGCACACACGGGGGCAGGTTGAAGATGGAGCACAGGCTGGGCTCCAGCGCCGTGGGGCCGCCGCCATTGATCATGATCACCTTGTGCACCAGCTCCGGGTACTCGTGTGCCAGGAAGGTGCAGAAGGACACCCTGAGGGGACACGGGGACATCAGGGTGACAGGGCTGGACAGGGCTTGGAGCAGTGTGGGCCAGGTGAAGGTGGCGCTGCCCATGTCCCTTGTCCCTGTGCCATCCCAGATCTGTCCCTGGTACAGTGAGAGGTGTCCCATGCCCATGTCCCATTTCCTTGTCCCATTCCCATGTCCCTGTGCCATCCCTGGAACTGTCCCTTGGAGCACCCTGGCACAGTGGGAGGTGTCCCTGTCCCTGTCCCTG